ATGAAAACTACCCTTGGATGATGGGTTAGTAGACTAAAAGCTTTAGGAATCCAAATTATAACATATAATAAGTACCCTGTATCAAGATTGATGCAAAACAAGTGACATTTGACTTTTTTAGAGAGATTTAGCAAAAGAAAACCCACTTCTGGGGTCATTTGGGTGGATTTGACCTAACTCTGGCCCCCCTTGGTCGATTTTGATGATTGACATCTCTTTTTAACCGTAGAGCCAATAGAATCACATACACACACACGTTTCCAAATAAGGAGTGAGAGTGATGCGTAGCCATAATACCCAAAACAGGAAGCTGTCATACACTCTGGAAGCTATCATTAGCAGCTAATATGAAAACTTTTTTTGTTTTTGACATTAAAATGGAAAGATGGATTATCAATAATTTTTTCAAGGTGACACAGAAACATTGGATTAACCTATGGATTAACCTTCAGCCGCGTTTTAATGCCATTGTACACAACTTTTGAACAGAATAACAGCAAAAGGTGAGCATATCTCGCTTTTTTTAAACGTCATACGTCTAACGCGTCATATTACGTCACATGGGGGAGCAACTTTCTCGGACTCCTTCTCTGCCCAATCCGCGGTAGTAGTTTGTAGTTGGTTTGAGCGGTTGTGATTTAGTGAGCTGGTATTTTTTCAGTAATTTTACATTGCATTTCACCATTTTTAATCATGGTGAGCTCTGTCAGGACATCGAGTCCACAGTTTCCCTAACAGGAAAAGGACCGGAGTTANTACTTTAGTTATAGCCTGATATATGATAGCTAACTTCACAATGTTGTGATGTGACGTTAGCTAACATTAACTGTAGCAAACGCCGGTCACTCACCAAGAATCTTGGTGAGTGACCGGCGTTTGCTACAGTTAATGTTAGCTAACGTCACATCACAACATTGTGAAGTTAGCTATCATATATCAGGCTATAACTAAAGTAGCATTGATAATATAGTAACGTTACACACAGGACTGTTGATACTGATCCATAACAGAAACTAATGCGCAAGTATCAGCCGTATCTTGCGTCATCTAATGCAACTCCACACCACGTCTTACGGCGCTGTTTACCGGAGGGGAGAGAGAGAGGAGCGAAGGGGGGGAGAGAGATGTAATACGGTTTCCTGATAATCGTTTTGTTTGATAGGCTTCAGCTGTGGAGAGTATGTG